TACATATATTACATATTTCTTAAAATAGCTTCAAAATATCATAATCTCTAAATAATATATAGAATAATACATAATTAGTATATAAATAATTGTAACATAACAATTTAAAGATAATTAAATGGCAGTTTTGCATAAATGTCTATATATTCGTATGTAAAAGTCATTTAAATGTTAACTCAAAATTTTTTTAATACTCTTCGGTGGACTCTATCTCATCAGTATCTTCGACTTCTCTTTTGAATCGGAATCCACCAGTTACACCAACTGAAGGAGAGACACCGTGACCTCTTGGACCTGGCTGAAGTTGACCATGACCTCTGATGAAACCATTATTGCCAAAATTCCTCTCAGCCTGGATGCCGATGTGTGGTTGCACTCGTTGTCCAGGTACTTTATTCAATCCTCCGTAAACGTCCGCGGTTGTGCGGCCATTGTTCATGATGTTACGGTTAACGTTGAGATCCCAGGTAGGTTGACGCATTGGACCGCTCAGAGGTTGCGTTCCTTGGAAAGTTATTGAACCTTGGGGTTCGGCTTCTCTTCTGAATCGGAATCCACCAGTTACACCAACTGAAGGAGAGACACCGTGACCTCTTGGACCTGGCTGAAGTTGACCATGACCTCTGATGAAACCATTATTGCCAAAATTCCTCTCAGCCTGGATGCCGATGTGCGGTTGCACTCGTTGTCCAGGTACTTTACTCAATCCTCCGTAAACGTCCGCGGTTGTGCGGCCATTGTTCATGATGTTACGATTAGCATTGAGATCCCAGGTAGGTTGACGCATTGGACCGCTCAGAGGTTGCGTTCCTTGGAAAGTTATTGAACCTTGGGGTTCGGCTTCTCTTCTGAATCGGAATCCACCAGTTACACCAACTGAAGGAGAGACACCGTGACCTCTTGGACCTGGCTGAAGTTGACCATGACCTCTGATGAAACCATTATTGCCAAAATTCCTCTCAGCCTGGATGCCGATGTGCGGTTGCACTCGTTGTCCAGGTACTTTACTCAATCCTCCGTAAACGTCCGCGGTTGTGCGGCCATTGTTCATGATGTTACGATTAGCATTGAGATCCCAGGTAGGTTGACGCATTGGACCGCTCAGAGGTTGCGTTCCTTGGAAAGTTATTGAACCTTGGGGTTCGGCTTCTCTTCTGAATCGGAATCCACCAGTTATACCAACTGAAGGAGAGAATCTATGACCTCGTGGACCTTGTTGAAATTCAGTATGACCTCTGATGAAGCCATTTTTGCCGAAATCCTTTTCAGCTTGGATACCAAAGTGTGGCTGTACTCGTTGTCCAGGTACTTTATTCAATCCACCGTAAACATCCGCTGTTGTGCGACCTTTGTTAAAAACATTGGCATTTGCGTTGAGATTCCAAGTTGGTTGACGTTGTGAGCCACTCAGAGGCTGCGTTCCTTGAAACGTTATTGAACCTTTTTTTGGCTCCTCGATTTGCAAGTTGGGTAGGTTAGTTTGGCGAGGAAAACGCAGTTCCTAGAGAGAAAAAAAATAATTCCTTGAAAAGATGATTCTTTTATACATTTATACACACACATACACACGCACAGCGTGTTGTGTGCACGTTTGTGTGTATGTATATAGGAAGAAGCATAGGAATTGAGGGCACCTAAGGGAAAATTAAATAAAATTGTCAATTATGTAACACTTAATAAAATTCTTTATTCAAGAGGTACTCTAGTTATTTATCTTTAAATGCAATATATAATTAAGTCGTATATTATCAATTTAAATAACTTTTCCCTTAGATATTCGCAATTACTCCGTTCTTCTATGCATCAAAATCATCGAAAATATGTGTATAATAATATTTGACTTGTATTCACAACGCATTATTATGGATAAAAGCGCGGTGTTATCTCTAAAATTCTATAATATGCGTAACGTAAACTATAACATTGTTGTAAGCGCGAATCGGAATACGGGCCTTTATTTTGAATAGTGTGTACTTTTTATATAGTCATGTGTTATAGTAGAAATGTATCGTATTATCATTGAATACGATAAATGAAATCATCACTAATATATTGCAATTAGTGTCCATAATTCTCTTCTCCCCTATATTTATATATGTAAAATCCAGTGTTAGTTATTCGGATAAGTCATATTGAAGTATACATATACAAAAATAATAGAAATTATTAAAAAATATTTCAAAAAAGTATTTTTTAAAGCAAGAAATCTTATTTTAAGACTCTTTATTCTACAAGAATGTTTATTATGTATTTTCTCGCTTCTAACGTCATAATCTGAATAGCGATGAGTGAACAGGAATTTTTATAACACACTCCAGATGTAACAAGTGTTTTTGTGAGTTACGCTAAATGCAAGGTAATTACGGTGCAATATGCAATGCGTTATTAAATGCATAGTCACGTATCATCAATTTGTCACGTTAGACATCAGATGATGCAATATTTAATGCTTAGAGAGAAATTATAGTTATTTAAATCACATTTTAAATATAATATTGTCTTCAAATATTTAGATAATTTAATACTCAAATATAAATTAAGAAAAAATTATTATAAGAATCATTTCAATTATAAACTTACCTACGTTTAAAGTAAAGTATTTACATAGTTTTTAACTTTAGTTTATTTGAGTAATAAATTACTCATAACGATATAACGATTACTTACATGTGATGAAAGAACTGATCCGATCGATTGCGATGATGATGTTTTTCCTGACAAGTCAGCGCTTGTGTAGGTGACAGCACATAATACGGCCAACACAAAAACTAGTAGCTTCATGATGATATTAACTATTCCTTTCTCAAAGTAGGAAATGTTTCTACTTTAAAGTTCGAAACAACTTCTGATGCTTGTTCGTCTTGTCCCGAGTGCTTATATACGAATTTTAGATTCCCGGGGATGTACTCAATTTTCCTTGATAATCCCGTTGCGTCACTTATCGCTCCGGGTAATTCCCAGCAGCAAATCGAACGTGCCTCGAGTTGAGTTCATGCGACATTCTCTCGCGTCGGGGAACCCTCGCGCAATAAATAGCAGTACTTTCACTATTTGGACGTATTTTTCTTAGTACTTTAATCTGTCAATGCAATTGCAACAATCGTATTAATCACCTTTTTGTTTTTAATATAATAATCTTTTTGCTTAATTTTTATTACCTATATTCAAGCAGAATAATGTTTTAAATAAAATATGTGATTGTCATGTAAAAATTATTTCTTTTATGTTTTATTTAAACGATAAAAGTAATAATAGATTTAAGTAATCCAGATTAATAATTATTAGTGAACGTATATATCTATTTGATTGAGCAAAATGAAGTACTTGATGAAGTTATCTATATACAAGGTCTTCATGTAATTTTAGGACATTGATTTGCCTTATTTTTCATTGTTTGAAAGAGATGCTTTTATACTAAGTACATTATATTTCATATATGTAAATTTATTGTTTTTATAATAAAATGATAACAATCTTTAAAATAAAATACTAAAATCTAAAAACAGAAATTATTTTCAGGAAGTCAATCATGTAACTTTTTCTCTCAAAGATGGAAACGTGAAAAGTGAAAATATTTTATATTTATGTGCATATGTATACATATATAGGATGTTCGACAAGACTTCTGACATACGCTTTTTGTAGATAGACTAAACTGAATTGAAAAGTTCTTTATCATTTTGCAAGTTTCGCAATGGTTAACGAGATATTAATTACTAAAAATTGCCGAATATTGATTTTCAATAATTTCTTACTCAAATATCAACTTTACAAAAAAAAAAACAACAGACAAAAATCACTTATTTTCTTCTCATAAAGTTCTGAGAATTTTTTAATAAGTACCATATTTTCTCATGTTGATAAAAATAATTATCAATAAGAAAATGCAGTACTAAAAAGTTGATCAAAAATTCTGAAAAAATTCTTAGAGCTTCATGAGAAGAAAATGAACAATTTTTATTTCTTGCTGTTTTTCTGTAAAGTTGATAGTATTTGAATAAAAACTTATTGAAGGCCAATATTCAGTAATTTTTAGTAATTAATATTTCGTTAACCATTGCAAAAATTGCAAAATGGTAGAAAATTTTTCGACTCTGTTTAGTCTGCTCTATTTACAAAAGCATTTGGCAGAAGTCTTATCGCTCTATATATACATACATAAAAACTTTTACTTCTTACGTTTTCTTTACGCTCTTAAATAATTTTGAAGTATTATAATAAGAGAAAAAAGTTACATGACCGAAATCTAGAATTTTGTATGTCTCTATATCAAGATTACTTTTTTATACAAAATATGCAGAGATATGAATTACATTCATAGATACTTATAATTGTTAGCCAAACAAAAATATTCCCTGACCTTTCCCTGAAGCCTAAAAGAAGCATTAAATAAAAACAAAAACAATACTAAAATTTTTATTTATTACAAACAAAATGTATAAAAAACAAAACAGAATGTAATTTGTATCATTTTTTAAAAACATTTTTGACATAAAGCAACTTCAATCTTGCACTTTTGAAAAGAGAGCATGTCTATCTTTCGTCTACTTCTACAACTAAATTCTTGTTAAACATAATTTTGAATTGCTTGATTTTTAATTTATTTATTTCATTAAATCTTTGTTTTGCACATTGCTCACTGAGATTTAATTATCTTAGTAAAATTATATTTTTGGATTACCATTTTAATTAAAAATTTTGATCTCAACACTATATAATTTTATAATTATTTCTTGTAATAAATGCGTTTGCATTTAAAAAATGTATAATTATTGAAGTAAATATATATTCTGTATAAAATTTTATGCTGTGAATAATCTGGAACCTTGTTACATATCTTGGTTTTGCAAAAATCCAGATATTTTCCTTTTTAATTTGTCTGTTAATTTTTTTCTGTAAAAATGAAAAATTATAAAAAAATATTATAATGTTTTTTTAAATAGTTTAAAAAATTCTATTTAATAATTTTTAAAGAAATAAAAAGTTTCAATTTTGAAGTATTATAATAATTTAATTTTATCTTATATAAATTAATTTTCTGATTTTTCCCGGTTTTTCCGGTTTTCTCTAACTACTAACAATCTTGAAAAATGTGCCTTCAAACGTATGCAAAAATTCAATTAAAAAACAAACGATATCATAAATGTAAAGCTATATGAATACACGTTTATGCATGTATATTATCATAGAGATAAGAAAAGTAATAAAAGTGTGATATAGACTACGTAATTAAAACGGGGAGGTCACAAAAATGTCACGGGAATCCCTCAATTTGTCTCGCGACGGCACTGAATGCAGCAGCTGTTTGCTTTTATGACAAAAACACGTGTAAAAATAATAAGACGGTGATGTCCCGTGAGAATGACGTATGCTAAAGATCCGAAGCTTATTTAAGCAATGAACTGTCTTCCGTTTGACAGTCATATTTGCATTTAGCACGAATCACTTATCGGTGCTCTTATAATCTGTTTTCTATTTTTTTTTTATTAATATTAAAGATGAAGCTATTTGCTCTCATTTTGGCCTTATCTTGCGTCATTGCATATACAGTTGCTCAGAACAGAGAATTGCTTTCAACCAATAATACCAAAATACTTTTCAAATTCAGTAATGTAATGAAATATTTTTTCTTTCTTTTTTCGTTTTCATTTTATTTATAAATATATATTATGTGCGTTTCATGATCAATGTTTCCACTTTGAGAGAAAATTTTCTTTTGCGAGGAATTTTTGAACACTTGAGGGAAGAAAAAGAAAAAAAACGTGGAAAAATCCCCAAAAAGCGGAAGATAGTAAAAAAATTATTTTTTAAATAAAAAGTGCAAATTTTTTAATCAATTAATTTAGTGTTGTGTTAGTGTTGTGCTAACAATTATCAATATAGAGATAAGAACATAGACATCCACATGCCATGTTCCGATATATATTAATACTAAAAATTTGTAATTTACGTTTACATATACTAGATTTTTAATACTGATAGTGTTGATTGGAATACGGTTTATATAATAATACTAAATTATTAACTTCTTAAGTAAGATGTCTTGTGTATGGATTGTATGAAATAGAGATGTGATGTGTATATTACACAATTTAATAAAAATTACAAAAACTAGCGAATTTATTACATTATTTTTAATTTCATTGTTTATTCAAATATCTAATGAATTTATTCATTTTTTTGTAAGAATGAAAACGTCCTACACACAAGCAATATAAGCTAGTATTATATAAGGCTAGTATTATATAATATAATTTTATTTTACATGTGGAATAACTTTAGAAATTAATTTAGAACATAAAAATAATGTAAAAAGTTTACATACATTTGTTCTATCTAACTTTGTTTCAGAATTGTAGTTATTTTCTGTTTCATTAATTCTAGTTATAAATTGAATTAGAATAGTATCTTCACCATTTCTGTTTTTAAAAACGTTATTAAAACGCGAAGACGTGTGAAAGTATGTGTATATAGACATTATATTAGCTCAACTTGTAATGAAAATTAACGAAACATGTAAATATCTGTAATTAGAACAAACAAGGTTAGATAAAATAAATATGTATATGAACATTTTGTGTTATTTTTGTGTCTTTTTATTTCTGAAGTTATGTGTTCACCCGTTATAAATGTCTTATATAAGCCATGTTCCGACATAATACAACTGTCAGTAATAGACATTGAAAATCGATCATAAAAATTCTAATCTAATTAACAGCAAAACATTGATTGTTCTGTGACTTTTAAAAAATATTTTTTTCCATCTGTTTTATTATTATTAATAATATATTTTAATCAATTTTATTGAACACTGCATGTATACTCTGTTTCTTTATTCTAAATTAAAATAGCACTTGTTTAACCTGATAACAACATTAAAATTAATTATAAAAAAATAAAATGTAAGTGCCTTAGATATAAAATTTCTGAAATTCCTTTATTAAAATAATAGTATTTGAATATGTGACATATTCTTCTGAAATGATAAAATCTAAGATAACAAAATTTTTTGATGGGAAAGAAAATGCGGGGAAATTTCAAGATAAAGTCACGGAAAGAAAAGAAATTTTAAAGAAGAAGAAGAGAAATATCAGATCACTCTAGTGAAAATATTGTTAATGATATTCATAATTACTTATTCTTCCTGACTTATACGCTTTGTGTGAATCGTTCTAGATGAATTCTGTTATTGTTATTATTTATAGGAAAAATAATTATTTGATAACATTTTTAAAACGATTTGATATCAAATTTAGAAATATTGGAAACATATATTACAATTAATTGTATATGTATAGTTTATAAATATTTTATTATATATTAAATACTGTTTAGGAGGCATCACATCGTTTTAGAGCCAATATTCCAAGCCTATTTCGCATGTATTTCGATGTCAACGGAAATCTTCGATTTACATTTTTCGGTAAATAATTTATGTTCGTCGATTCCAGCAAATATAACGTGATTCCCGCATCTGAAACACAACCTAAGTCCGAATCGTATAATATTGTATATTAAACGAGGATAATTCTTCAGGCGCCAGCTCAAATCAAGTTCGTCCTCCTTCATCAAATTTTCTAGAGGAGAGAGGTGGTTAAACCCTTCTGCAACGGAACACAATTCAGCATGAATGATTTTTATAATTTTCTGGATCTTCAGTAAAGTATAAATAAAAAGCCCATAAAAACATTCTTGCTCTTTTAGTCTGTAGGAAACGCTAATTGATTTGTGAGGTCGAATCGAATCTTTATGATAATATATTTGAAAACGAATCAAAATTGAAATTTTTACATCAAATCGAATATTTTCGATTCGAAAATGAATCGAATTTAAATCA